GATTTAAGACTGGCGCCCCCAGCAAGGTGGTGGGGGACGCGGTCGCGCAACCATTCGTTCCTGCTGCCCAGATGGGTGCTGCACCGCTGTTAGGCGAGCTGCCGTTGCCAACCCTGTGTCTGCTGGGGGCTTTGGGGGCCGGAAGGGCAGCTGCCACATGCCATGTCACCGCGGTGCCGCAGGCGCTCACTCTCGATGTCGAAGAACACCTGCGCGCAGGGTGGAGCAGAGGAGGTGGGGCAACAGGTGACTGCGATTTGAGTGACACTTGCTCAGGCACAGATACATCCAGTGTCCCTGACACCCCAACTTCGTCTCCAGCCAATGGTCATATTGTTATGTGCCTTTGTGACAGGCCAAGCGGCCCGTTTGCAGCTGCTGAGGGTGACCAAGCCCACTGATGTGGCAAGACTTGGCCGCAGCTGGCTGCCCCGAGCTGCACAGCTCCGGGCCCGCTTGAGAAGCACAATCAACGCCCACCTTTTTAGTGATGGCGTCGGGGTTGTGGGGCTTGGCTGCCATGCAGCGCACAGATGTGAACTGTGGGCGATGGTTTCGGAGTTTGGAAGTGGGGAGCGCCCCACTGTGAGGCTGCGGTCACACCCCAGCTTTGCGGCGTGCAGGGCCAGTGAGGAGTACCATGCGTACGGTCAGCTTAATCCTTCATACATGATCGTTGGTCGCGGTAAATGATACCCAGGGGACGGCAGCCTCTGGGAGGCTACCCCAGACAGCAGCAGCCACGAATGCGCACCCGCGACGCCGCCGCCCTGGCAAGGGGGGCGCGGGCCGAAAGGCTGCGTGCACCCTGCGTGTAAGGAATCACGCAGTGGGGGGTGATTTGAGGCCGCCTCTGATCTGTGACTGCCAGCTCGATACCTCCCAGGCCCGTCGTCCGTTGCTGGCAACAGCCATTGCTGGTATCTGTGGCGCACGCGCATCTGTATCCAGCTAAGCAACCTTCACGTCCAGTCACTCACGCGGATAGCCTGCATCGCTGCACAAGTCGGTGACGTACAGCTAGATCAGTGGCGGTGATCTAAAATCCCTCAGCCCACTGCAGTATACAGCGGGGTTAAAAACTTACAGGTACCCAAGCGAATCGCAACGCTACTCATGTTGCCAGTGCGTTGGCTGCGGTCTGACGACCAATTTGCCGGCGACTGCTTTCAACATGGCATGTCACCGTAGAGGCAAAGACATATCAGCACGCGTTTCTTATGCCATGTCAAATTTGTCACGATCATTTCAGTCCCTCCTGCGCACGTGCTCACGAATTGCAGCGGAGGCTTGCAATTATCTCGGAGGACGCGCGCACGATATGGTTTGAGGGTGACAGAGGTCTTAAACTCCGCTGTGTGGACGCCTATACCGTTGGCGCAGGGCAACTGCCCGCCGCCCGTGTTGCCACACTCAAGCTGCAGGCACGCTCTCCAATTCTAGTCTTGCTCAGCCTGCCGGGGGGTCACAGCGACCAGCAATTCAGCCGCATGCGCGTTGCTGGCCTAGTTCGCCTGCCGTACCTTCTTTTTGGACGACCACCTTGGCGCAGTGCCGCAACAGGGCGGGCTTGCTGCCACATCAGCATGGGCCCTCTGCTTGCCAAAAATGACGCAGCACCCACTCTGCGCCTGCTCGTATTGCACTTCGCGCCGAAAATGCAGGCGGAGGAAGCGCGCCCCGTCAGTGCTGCCTGCAAAAGCAGGGCTCGGAGCTGCTGCCAGGCAGCCACGCCGAAGCCACCGCCCTCCTCATCAGCACCAGCTAGGGCACAGCAATGGCCGGCCTCGACGAGCCGCTGCTGCCATCCGGCGCGCAGCAGCAGCAGCAGCAACAGCAGCAGCAGCAGCAGCAGCAGCAGCGACGGCACTTCAATGCCGGAGGCAGCTTCGCCGGCAGCGGCCGCCCCGACATGCGGGTGACGTCTCTGCGCTTGGTGGTGCGCGAGCACTCCAGCACGGGCGCGCCTGTATCAGTGATGATTGAGGAGGAGGGCGAGGAGCACCTTCCCCGCAGCCGCCGCCACAGCTACTCGGGGCCGCCGCAGCCGCAGCCCGACAGCTTCAACATTTGCGTGTTCAACCTCACCAAAGTGGTGCTCGGTGCAGGAATGATGGCGGTGCCACGGGTGAGCGACTTTGGGTTCAAGGGGCCGCGACAGTAGCCGAGCGTCCGGCCGCGTTCCGCCTGCGCCCGGCCCTTGCCTGGGTAGACTGCAGGCGCTTGTGACGGCCACCAACGCGCAGCGCCTGTGCGGCCCTCGCAGCACGAGCCAGAGCTGTTTGATGATCACATGCACTGCCCCAAGCGCACGACTACCCATGCAGGCGCCATTTCAAACCTTACGCAATGCGACCATCTCAAACGATCAAAACGGTGACGGTTTTCTTTGCTGACACTGCTGATTCTAGGCGGTATACCTGCTGGGGTTGATTCCCGGCACCCTGCTGGTGGTCGCCATCGGCTGGCTCACCAACGCCACCCTGGCGCGCGGCCTGGTGGCCGGCAGCGAAGCGGTCGGCGCCAAGTCGTATGGGGCGCTGGCCGGCGCGGTGCTGGGGCGGCGCGTGGAGTGGGCGCTGCAGCTCAGCGTATTCATCAAGTGGGTGGGAGTGCATGTCTAGACTTTCCCACATATCTGTGTGTATAACCATTCACATGTACGGATATTCTTTTTGTGGTCGGGAATGGAAGGGGGTGCAGCATGTACAGTGCTGACTGCAGCTGCCCTCACACAATGGCTCGGGCCTGCAGGCAGAGGGTGATGCGCTCGCATGTGTGGTTGAGGCTGTCTGCACGGTCCGATGCAAGGTGCCTGTGAGTGTCGGTGCTACGCTACGTGCACGTGGCGACAGGCTCTACACTCGTCCTCTTTCAGGCGGACGCACGACCTGAGCACCCCACACGCCTCAGTGTGAATTCATTCAAGCCGCCTCAACTCTGATTTGAAGGGTTGCCCATCTTCCACAATCCGCGTCATCCACGCAGCTGCTGGACCATGCTGGTGGTTTTCCTCGTCGTCATTGGTGACGTCCTCATCGGCACCGCCCCTGATTACTTCGGCTTGATCCGTCAGGTCACCGGCGTCACGGGGGGCCCTTTGCTCAGCCGCCCGACCGTGCTGGGCGTGCTGTGCGCGGGAGTGCTGCTGCCCCTCGGCAGGTGAGCTTGGCCGCCCATGGCGCTGCTGCGCTGCGAAGACCTGCCCTGTCATCACGCCCGCATGATGACGCCGGACTCGGCGCACCAATGCATCAGACCCTGAGACCCCTTTCACCACGCACAACGCCGAGCTGGCATCTCCCCTCACGACTGTGTCATTGCGCGGTCCTTTCTGCCGCGCAGCATGCGCAGCATGGACCATCTGGCGCTGGTCAACATCGTCGGCGTCGCCAGCAACGCCCTGTTCGCGCTGCTGCTGCTGGCACTCGCGCTGCTCGCAGCCGCCTCGGGCCGCGCCCAGCCGCTGCCGCTGTGGCCGCAGTGGGACGCGCTCGCGGGCAGCGCCGGCAGCGGGGGGCCCGGCGCCGGGCGGCTCAGTGCTGTGCTGTGCCTGATGTCGACGCTTCCAATCATCCTCAATTGCTTCACGGCGCACCAGGTTGGCTAAGTGGTCACTATCTGCAACCTGCGACTGAGCAGGCTTCTATGTGCATTGCGGTTGTCGTCAGCTGCCATCCATGCTTGCGGGGCAGCCCACACCGTGTGAGTGTGCGCGTCTCTCGTACCCCACTGCAAACGGCCTAGTTACCGGGCGCCTCGCGCAACCACGCGCTCACCTTACGGCGCCCGTGCCCCCTCCCCTCAACCTCCCGTCGATGCACAGTCGCTGCACCCGCTGCTGCCGTCGATGCAGCCGTACAGCACGCGCCGCGCCCAGACCATGGTGGCAACGTCCCTGGGGCTGGCAGGGGTGCTTTACTACACAATTTCGATGTGAGAGCCTGTTCATGTGCACGAAAGTGACGCAGGCTTGCGTTTTGCTTGAGAACGACCAAGCTCGGCGCACCTCTTAGGTCATGACCTAATCAGGAGCGCATGCATAGCGCGAGTTGGGCACCTTGTAAAGCGCCCACAGCCGTTCGCGCCTCCACACCCGCGCCTATGCCCCCCTCCGCACTCGCCCCGCCCCATTCCCCCGCGCAGCTGCGCGTGCGTCGTCTTTGGTGCGGCCCTGCAAGATGACGTCCTCTCAAACTTCACGGTGGCCGGCGTGGCGCCCCTACTGGGCTCCGAGCCGGCCGCGCACCTGGCGGCGGCCGCGGTCAGGATCGGCTACCTGCTGTCTGTTGCCGGATCCTTCGTCCTCCTGCTCTTCCCGCTGCGCCACGTGCTTGCGGACGTGCTCCTCGGCGGCCACGACGCGCTGCAGCGCCGCTGGCTGCCGGCGACGGCGGGGCTGGTCGCGTCCGCGTACGCGACGGCGTGCTACCTGCCGTCGATCTGGGGGGCGCTCAGCCTCGTGGGCGCGACCGCGACGACCGCACAGGCGTGGATAGTGCCGTCGCTGGTGATGCTCGCGCTGGAGCGGCAGCTGGCTGCGGGCATGGGCGGCGGCGGCGCCGGGACCGGTGCGGCGGCAGCAGGGTTTGGGAAAGGGGACGGCGGCGCCGTCGCGCGGTGGGCGCGCGCGGGGCGCGTGGCGGTGGCGGGCTTGATACTGATCGTTGGGTCCGCGATGTTTGCGAACGCCATCGTGGGGGAGGTGCTGAGGCGGGTCGCCGCTCAGACGCTTTGAGAACCTTTTGACGATGCCCTGTCCCTGCTGACTCAGCATCTAAGAGGGCGACCAGCAGCGTGCGCCTGAAGTGCCCCTGCGGACCGCTAGGGGCCGCCAGCTGGCGCCTGCGCATTGCGGTTTTCTGCTGTGGGCTTTGTCACCGCAAGCTGCGCGCTGCAGGTCTTCAGGTTTTTGCAATGGCCATCTGGTTGTGGGCGGCTGGGTTGAACAACCTTGCCCGTTGCTACATTGTGGGGCCCCAGCTCCAAATTGGGGTGCGGCATTGTTGTCTCCAAAAACCCAATCGACCTTACCCCAGTGTCTGCGCTGGCAACCCACTAATCCACGCACGCATGCTGTGCGTGGGGGGCTGCAGACCTGCTGATGATCAATGCCACGAAGCGTGGTGTTGCATGCCCAGCAAACAAGCCGCAGCAGCACATGCCAAACCGGTTGAATCCCACGTGGGACTCCAAAACGGCTTACACGAAGCTTGCTTTTTGTGTAGCGCATGTGTACGTCACTTGCATCAAAAGTTGTGTCTACTTTCAGAGTGTCACTGGACTTTTACGCAGGCAGAACAGCGGCCGCTCCCAGTAGGGCGTGAAGGGCGCAGGTCCAGCGAGTGCGGGGTACTTGCAACGCATGCAGTTGGGTGCGCTTGCACCCATGTGTAGCCGCACAATGCAAGCTACAGGCAATCAACAGAATGACAGGTTGAATGCTTTCATGGTAGCTCATGTCAGATGCAGCTGCGTTTCGGAGGGGTCGCAGAGAAGGTACGAGACCGTACGGTAGCGTACGCAGGCGGCAGGCGCTAGCTAGGGGCCACTGGGAATTGGGTTTTTCCCAGCTGCTCAGCCCAGGTGTCAACGGTCTGGTAGTGAGAGCATTTGAGAAATTTATTATCTTATTCGCGTATTAGCAGGTTCTCCACACATACGTACGCGAGACTCAGGACTGAAAACCGTCGCTGGACGTCGGTGGACATTGCATTTCGTGGCAGGCAAAACTAGCAGATATCTCAGAAATCTGTAGTCGCACTGATATTTGAGCCAGCGCCACGATGGAACAAACGTTAGAGGGGTTTCGATGAAGCCAGCCCGCGGCAGGCCAGGGGCGAGGCTTTGCGTACTTGGGCTGCTGCTGCTGGCCTCGTCCCTGTTGGTGAAACCAGCTGCGGCAAATAAACTGAGGCTGCTGGAATTGCGCAGCGTGCCCACGCTGCAGGCCGACGGCGAGCGTGCATTGGAAGTGTCGCTCGCCGATTCTGCTGCGCGCCATGGAAAGCTATTTGTGCGCGGCACGCGTGCCCTGCAGCAAGCAGCAGACCGGAAAGCTAGCCCTGCCGGCACTGGCGAAAGCGCCGCAGCCGCCACCGGCGTCTCGGACGCCTGCGCCGCCGCCGGCAGCGACGCCGTCGACGGCGCGGCGGTCAGCGGCGTGGCGGCGCAGCTCTTCGGCGACGAGCGCCTGCTGCTGCAGGGTGTCCGCTACGCTGGCGCGTGCCGGTCCCTCGGCCTGGCGGCGTTGAAGCCCCCTAACGCCCTGTCAGCCGTCCTGGGCAGCGCCGTCGTCATCAGCACGGGCGCCGCGGCCGACGCGGCCGCCGACGCGAACAGCCCTGCACGCGCGTCGACCGCGTTCGGGACGCCGGCCGGCCCCGCGGACGGCTTCCCCTCGGGAAGCTTCGACGCAGCTGTGCTCGAGATCGACGTTTTGGTGTCGCCCGCTGCGCCGGCGGGCTCTCAGCTGTCGCTCATGTACATTTTTGGCTCAGAAGAGTACCGCGGCGGCGGCCGCCGCCCAGACCCACTCGTGTTCCACATCCGCCTGGCCGGGTCGACCTCGGCGACAAGCCTGGCGCTGCTGCCCGGCGGCGGCGCGATCACGGGCGCAGCCGCGCGGCCGGCGGCGCCGATCGAGTTTTACGACAATGCAGTGGTGGGGGATTCACCGTCGCCGATCGCGGCGGCCTTGGATGGTTTCACCCAGGTGAGCTGAGGGGCGGCCAGTGGGGCACGCCTTCTGACGGGAGGGCTAGGTCTGGACAACGCGGGTGAGCTTTGCATTTGTATGGGCTCAATAGCAACACCGGTGGGCAGCGCATCCCGGGCTCCCAAAGTGCACCGGCCGGGGACCCGATGACGCTCTCCTTCCCTGAACCCGCGCACGCCGCTCATCCTCCTTCCTTCCGCGCACTTGCACTCGTCCCTGCGCTTGCACGCATCTGCAGCTGCTGCCGACGCAGGGCTACCCAGTGGTGCCCGGGACAACTTATGTGATCCGCGTCGGGGTGGCTGACGCGGGGGACGCAGACGTGGACACGGCCGTGCTGCTGAAGGCGGGCTCGCTAGTGCTGACGGCGCCGCCTGTGGTCGACGCGGGCGGGCCGTATTCTGCGGTAGGTTGAGCAGACGCCGTGGAATGCGGCAGGCTTGCCTGCATGCAGCTGGAGTAGTAGCGACTGTTTGGTGCAGGTGCATCTGCGGGGTCGAACGGTAGCCAGGTGTGCAGAGAATGCCGTTGTGGCTGTTTGCAGCACTGGTCCCGCTCAACATGCAGCAGAGGCAGCAGTAGGCCACACTACATTCGGCACTATTAGAGGTCACCCACGGCAATGCCCACCCTGTCCTCCCCACGCCCCTTGCGCCTGCATTGTCGGTGTGTTTACCGCAGGTGTCTGGCGGGCAGCTGCAGCTGAGGGGGACCGGCTCTTCGTCGGTCCCATTTGTGCCCATCCTTGCAGCCAGCTGGCGAGTCACCCCCCTCGGAAAGCCCAACCTCCTGGTGACAAAGGCAGAGGGCCTCACGCCGTCCGCCGTCGCACCGGCGGCGGGCAGCTACGCGGTCGCTTTGACTGTCTGGGACGCGCGCGGCGCGACAGCAAAGGGGCTGGCGACGCTGTCGGTTGCCGCGGCACCGCTGCCGGCCGTTAGCAGCGGCATGGTGGCCGTGAGCAGCGTTTCTGGAGACGCGGCGTCTGCAGCCGAGTCCTTGTACCGCGCGCCCGCGCCAAACGCACGCCCACGGGCGAGCATCGCACTCCCCGACGGCGGCGTCGTGCGCGCGCGGACGGGCGAGGTGCCGAGGGTGCTGATCAGCGGCGCGGGCAGCCTGAACGCTGTCGGGTTTGCGTGGACCATCACCCAGACGCGGCCCAACATGATGGCCCTGGAACTGGGGATGCCGTCTCAGAACCAGCCCAGCGAGTTTGAGCGCGAGTTTGCGCCGGGAGAGTACGTCATCGGGTTGACGGTGCAGGGTGCCGGCGGCGGCGCGGATAGCACGCACTCCACGCAAAAGGCGCTGACGGTGCGCGCCAACCGGCCGCCGGCCGCCGTGGCGGGCGGGCCGTACGTTGCAGCCCCCGGCCGGCCGATGCAGATCAGCGCCGCAGGGTCCTCGGACGAGGACGGCGACGATCTGGCTTACTCTTGGACGCTCACCAGGGCGGGGTCGAAAGAGCAGCTCGCAAAGTTTGAGGACGTCGCGCCGTCCTTCAGCATCAACGCCATCGGCGATTACAGAGCTGTCTTGACTGTCAGCGACAGCATGGGGGCCACGACAACCTCGGATGCGCAGATCCTGATTGCGTACCCAGCACCCCCTCCGCCGCCCCCGTCCCCGCCGCCGCCGTCGCCGCCGCCGCCACCGCCGCCGTCCCCGCCGCCGCCGCCGTCGGGGATCCCTGCGGGGATGGTGGCGGCGGCCGGCGCCGCGCCGGCGCCCGCATATCAAGGATGGGTCATGCCGCCTGCCTCCACGTTGTACACACGCGTCGCGCCGGCGCCCGCGCAACAGCAGCAGCAGTACTCCAACCCACAGCTGCAGCAGCTGCAGCAGCGGTACGCCACCGCCGCGGCCCCCGGCGGCGCGGGCGGCTACGACGGGCAGGGCGCGTTCGCGGCCCCCGCCCAGGCCCCTGGCTCGCAGGCCATCCAGTCCGGCTACGGTCTGGGCGCCTACCGCTCCGGGCTGGGCGGCGTACCCATGACCGTTGGGTCCGCGCTGTCGCCGCTGCAGAGCTTGGCGCCCAACAGCCAGTGGTCGACCGCCGCAAGGGCCGGCCAGGGAGCTGCTGCCGGAGCTGGCCAGGGGCAGTTCCAGGCCGCAGGAATGTGGCCGGTCACAAAGGAGCTGTCATCGGGCGGCAAGCCCATGGGGGCGGTGGACGACCTGAGCGCGCTCCTCAAGCTGACCAGCCAGGTGGGTGCTTGGATGAGGACGGCGATTACCTGGCGCGTTTTCGAGCGTCTGACCAAGACGGGGCCGTGGGAGCAGCCCGCACAGTTTGGAAGCGCCCTGGTAGCCTTGTGAGGCAGCATGCTCATGGGTCCCCGACCGCGGCGGTAATGGAGCGCGGCGGTGTGGCGGCAGTGTTGAGGTGTGGAAGAGGGGTGACGCCTGACTGCTGTGAAGCTAGCACCGCTGGCAAAAACCTGTTTCCCAAGCGCCGCCTTGTGCTGCTCACGCAGATCTGCTCACCCACATCTGCACATAGCAGCGTCCCCTGCCCCTGAACTCCCACCCTTGCGCCCTCCCCGCCGCCGCGTCACCAGGGTGGCGAGTGCACCTATGCCAAGGACACCGGGAAGCTCATAGGCAGCGGCTGGGCCGCCCTCCTCGGCGTAGCGTCAGGCACCACCTTCATGGGCCCCTGCCCCCGGCCCCCTGCCCCCGCCGGTGGCGCAGGGACTCCGGCGGCGTCAGCTCCAGCCCCCGCACCGGGCGCGGCGCCGGCCCCGCCGGCGCCGGTCGGGGCGCGGCTGACGGCGGCGATCGCCTCGCCCTCCGCCCTCGTGCCCTCGCGCGCCAGCGCCCCTTCGGCGCCGGCGACCGTCCTGCTCGACTCGGCCGGCACGACCGCCGCGGCGCTGCGGCCGATAACCTCATACCAGTGGGCCGTCAGGTCGCGGCCGTCCAACGCGACGATTGCGGCCGTCGGGGGCCCCAAGGTGGCCGTGGACCTTGCGCCCGGATCCTACACGGCCGTCCTTGTTGTGAGGGACTCCCTCGGCTTCTCGGCGTCCGAGGAGCGCGATTTCGTGGTAGGAGACCTCGCCGCAACGTTTGCTGTGATCTCGTCTCCAGGAGAGCTCGAGGCCGCGTCGCCGGCGGGCGCCTCGGACGGCTCGGCGACCGCGCGGGTCGCGCTCTCAGCGGAGGGGTCGGGGGCGGCGCCGGGGCTGTTCCTGGTGTCGGCTGCGTGGCTGGTGCAGCGGCTGCCGGGGCTTGACGTGGTGGCCACGCCGAGCGGGCTGACTGCCTACCTCGACCTGCCGGTGGTGAGTTGCAGCCACGATGTTGCGTCCCTGCATTAAGGCACATGAATCTCTGCGCGTCAGCTTCAAGGGGCCGCCGACTTGCAGCCACCAAGTAGAGCAGCGGCTTGGGCGCCGTGCCCCAGAAGGATTCTCGACTTGCCACACTCTTGCCTCTCGTCTCATTCCCTGATATTCCAGTCTTGACAAACCACTTGAACACTTGCAGGGCTCCTACCTGGCCAACCTGCGCGTGTTTGACTCCCTGGGGGGATCATCAACTGCCACGAAGCGCTTCAAGGTTGGCGTGCCCAGCGCCACCAAGGCGGCGGACGGCAGCCGTCCAACCCTCGCCGTCATCGATCAGCCCGCGCCCGAGGTGATGACGGCGGCCACCCGTCACTCCGCGACCGCGCGGGTGACGCTCGACGGCTCTGCGTCGGTGGCTGCTGCGGGCGTCCGGATCGAGAGCTATGTCTGGGGCGTCGTAACGCTGCCAAACCGTGCGCCGGTGACAACCTTGAAGGGGCCCGTTGCAGAGGTCGATCTGCCAGATGGCCTGTACCAGGTGAGCATGCGCTGGGGCCGCTGCCCGACTAACACAGGGCAGATGACGATGGCACGTGGGTGCGACATGCCACAGGGTTGACTTGTGCGTCTGCCTGTCGTGGCAGCGCTGGGGCGCGAGCGGCACGAGCAGCGAGGCGCGCTCCTGACCTGGGACGAACTGGGAATTTCAGAGCTTCAAAATCAAACACATGTTGTTTTGCAAAAGTTCATTTGTGACACTTGACCGACCCCTTGGGCTCAGTATCTTTGCCCTCTACCTTTGCTGCAAACACTCAAATTTTGACTGCAGGTCGGCCTGCTTGTCACGGACAGCAACGGGGCCATTGCCACCGCTAAGAAGACTGTGACAGTCAAAGTGGGCATGCCCCAGCCGCCGCCATCCCCGCCAGCACCCCCGCCGCCGTCGCCACCGTCGCCGTCGCCACCACCGCCATCGCCACCGCCGCCGTTTCCACCCCCGCCCAAGTCGCCGTCTCCGCCGCCGCCGCGCCCGTCCCCGCCGCCGCCCCGGCCACAGTCGCCCTCGCCGCCGCCCCCATCCCTGCCGCCGCCCGAGCCGCCTTTGGCATCGCCGCCGCCGCCGCCGCTGCCATCTCCTCCGCCGCCCTCGAGACGCGCGGCGTCCCCGCCGCCGGCTCTGTCGCCGGCGTTGCCGCCTGGGCCAACGACAACCAGGCTCGGGGCGAGCGGCTGGGCGAAGCCAGCAGCCCCTGACGGTGCTTTGGGAGCGGCGGCCACTGCCAATGGCCCCCAAACCCTGGTCCTGCCGCCGACCATAACAAACGTATTCAGGTCTGGGGATGCGCCAGCCCTTATATCGGACATCACCAGCGGCAAGAGCGGCACTATCCTTGCAGCCCCTGCTCGCGGTGGCAGCGCGCCGACACCTGGGGTGCGCGAGCCGGCGTCCGCCAATGCGCCGCCGTTCGTGAAGCCTGGGCTGTCGTTTGCGTTCCCATCTGGTGGCAGCATCAGCCTCGCAGGGGCGGTAGAGGATCCTGACGGCGACAGCCTCTTGATACATACAACGCTGATTGGCGGCTCGAGCAGCCGGCCAGATGGTGTCAGCTACAAAGGCACTGGCGAGGCGGTGTCGCTGGCAGGAGTGCAGCCGGGCGCTTACACATTGCTGATCACGGCCGACGACGGCCGCGGCGGCATCGGCGCGGGCGTCGCGGCGGTGCGAGTGCTGCCTGGCCCTGGCGGCGGCGCAGGTGAGGCTGATGGCGGCGACGCGGCGGCGGCTGGCGCATTTTCAGCGCCGCCTGTGCCAAGGCTGCCGCCGCCAGCCGCACCGAGAATCCGTTTGGCATTGCACCACGCAACGCCAGCGCCACAGCTCAACCCTCTACAATCAAACACCTTGCAGCAGCCATCACCAAATCAGTCAGAGACACTGCAGCACCAGTCATCACTGCAGCAACATCCGCACCTGCAGCACATACAGCAGCAGCAGCAGCAGCAGCAGCAGCAGCAGCAGCAGCAGCACCAGCAGCAGCACCAGCACCAGCAGCAGCACCAGCAGCAGCAGCAGCAGCAGCAGCCGCATCTGCATTTGCAGCAGCAACAACCACAGCCGCTGTCGCACCAGCAGCAACCACCCCTGTTGCAGCAACCGCACCATCAGCAGCAGATGAAGCCGCCGCCGCTGCTGCAGCCGCAGCCGCCGCCATCCCAGCCGCCATCCCAGCAGCAGCCGCCATCCCAGCAGCAGCCGCCATCCCAGCAGCAGCAGCCGCCGCCATCCCAGCAGCAGCAGCAGCAGCAGCAGCAGCAGCAGCAGCAGCAGCAGCAGCAGCAGCAGCAGCAGCAGCAGCAGCAGCAGCAGCAGCTCCCGCCAACCCCGGCACCGCCACCGCAGCAGCAGCCCCCAGCTGTGCAGCCGGAGCCCCGAGGTGATCCGCAACCGCAAACAATGCGGCGCCGGCACTCGCGCCTGCCCTACGCCTCACAGTACCCGGCTCTGCGGCTGCCGTCCTTGCGATTATCGGCGGGCAGCTCATTAGTCGTCGAGGCAGCTTCCACCGGCCTGCTGCCTGTTGGCGGCCCTCCGAGCGTGTGGCGTGCGGGGGCGGCTGCATGCGAGTGGGAGCTGGTGGAAGCTGCGACTGGCCGGCAGGTTGCGAACAGGACCGGCGCATCTGCGCGGTTTGATTTTGCAGCCGTCGGCGCCTTTGAGCTGCGCGCCCGGCTGCCGGCCGGCGCCGCGCCCTCCGACCTGGGGCCGGCCGAGGCGCGCTCGCTGTTGACAGTCGCGCCGGCGCCGCCTGACCGCGGCCCGGCGCCGTTCGCGACAGGGGCCTGCGCTGGTGCCCCAGCCGGGGCCCGCGAGTTTGCGCCGTTGGTCCTCAACTGCTCAGGGCTATCGTACACGGCCCCGGCATCCGCGGCGGCCCAAGATCTCCAGTTCGCGTGGAAGATCTTGTCGGCAGCCGACAAGGCGGTCGTCGCGATGACGCTGGGCCGCGTCGCGCACTGGGGGCCGCTGCCGCCCGGCCCCTACCTCGTCCAGCTCGCCGTCAGCCTGGGGTTTGGGCTGCCGACTGGCGCCAACATCGTGTATTTCTGGAGCTCGCTGCTCGACGTGGCCCCGGTCTCCGGCTTCGCCCTCGCGCCGCCGCGGCCGGCCTGCGCCGGCGGCCGGGCCGAGCTGCGCGCGCCGGCGCTGCGGCTGCCGGCCGGCAGCCGGCTGGTCGGGCGCGCGTGGCGGGGCCGCTGGGCGGACG